TAGAGGAGGTAACCTGACAAGTCTAAGTCTATAGTATCTAGGTCAGGGATTGAACCCACTGATATGAAGCTGTGTCATGGATACTGAGCTGAAAAATGATGACATCAGAAAGGTCATTTATGAAAATTAGGAACAACGTTGGTACAAAGATAGAGCCCCAGGGAACACCTGCATTAATGCAAATGATCTAGAAGATTGGCCATTCAAGATAACATTCATTTTGCAATTTAGAGATGATAGCAGAAATCATAGGTGAAGTTATATGCCTATCATTCAAAAGAAACTCAGTTCTAAGTATACAGTCAGACAAAGATACTTCAGATGAGTCAAGAATAGAATTTGAAAATAATTTATGAGCAGAATATGTAAACACCTCAAATTGAGCGAAGGCAGGAAAAATAGAATAGTTACTGTTATTTAACGCACCATTACAGACCCCCAGTAGTCATATGAACCAAACTTGTTTGAGGTTATATGGTGCCTCATTCTATCAACAAACAAAGACTTACCCTCATTGAAGATACATTGGTTAATTTGCTTTTTAAGTCCCGCACTAAATATCTATTAAATTTTCCCCAAATCGACATATTTCCGTGGAAATGAACATACTGGACTCGAATTAACAATTAAATTATGATAAAACCTACCATTTTGGAGTTATCGACAAGAAAAATCGGACTATGTCTTGGTAATTCGTCCATTACAGGCATTGTTTTTACTAAAACAGCGCGGAGCATTTCCTTCACGCATGCGTAAATTTTGGCCTATTTACTTCTTTTACAAAATTTCGTCGCAGAAATCACTACGCACTACCATAAAGCAATTTTTTTTTGGTTAAGTAGTTTTATTTATAACATGAAACTTTAAACAAAAATACATTTAAATAATACAATAGAACCTTTTTTACAAACAAAAATAAAACGAATAATGCGCAAACTTTGCATGAAGTTTGAAAAATGCTTGGTTATTTACAAAATAAAAAATGCTCCTCCCTAGCATTTTTTATTTTGTAAATAATCATGCTCTTCTAAAGACGCACATTAATTATTATTTCGTTTCTAGCATTATTTTTATTTTGTAGATAATCATGCTCTTTTTGTAAAGAGCATAGCGGACGAATTACCCCAACATAGTCCGATTTTTCCTTGTCGATTTATGTTTAGTAACCCTCATTTCAATTTTCTTGAATTTCATTGGTTGTTAAATAAAAATAAGCTTCGAGAAATTTCTATAACAAAACAGTCAAAATTTGTGCAAAAATAGACTCAATATAGACATAAAAAAAAAGAATATTTCTCAAATTCACCCCCAATTTCAATGTTTCAAGAAATCCTATTGGCTAAAAAATAAAAAATACAATATTTGTCCACACATTTCTCAGAAAAATTTGCAACAGCTACTAAGCCTTGCTGGAACCGATTTTGTTGTTAAAAAAAACTATAGATAGAAACAGTAAACGAATTTTCGTCGCATTTTGAGACTCACACACGCGAAAAGATACACACGGGAATTATGTGTCAAAAATTGCCGCCAAAGAAACAAATTTTCTTTATGAGAGATTGGAAAAATTCATACAACAAACTTTTTGACTTAATATCTTTCATAGAAAAATCTTTTGTCTAAATTAAATTCAACCTTTCAATCAAAGGCAGACAACTTTTTAGACATTGAACATTTCCGAAACAGCAAAGAACTTTTTTCTATACCTTTGCACACATCATTACAAACAAAGAAACTGTAAATTGTGTATATAAAATTTAATCTTTTGTTTCAAACATGTATTTTTTTGTCGTGATTGAATATCGTTACCATTTGGCCATTTCTTATCATTTATGCTTGTGGATATTGCATATTTTATTTGCAGCACAATCTTAAATATTCCCGCATCCTTCACATGGAAATATGACAATTTGGGAAAAATTTAATAGATATTTAGCACGGGACTTAGAAAACAAATTTACTGATACATTTACAATTATTTTGAGCTGACACAAATTGTCGTCTGATGTGATCAGAATTATCACACTTGTACACTCAGAAAATGTGACCCCTGTGGATTATAGCAGCTGAACAGACCTGTGTGAAGCAAGAAGAATTTGCTTTCCCCTGATATTTAAGAGAATGTACAAAAGCATCAGTACTGGCTTTAACTCAAGAAGAAACCTTTGTGGCTAGTATAGTCGAAAAGCTTATCTTATAAACTAGTTTGTAGCGATTGCTATGTTTTTCCACCCCCACATTTTATTTGTCTGCGATTGGCTAATAAATCAATACTACTTTTCTATAGGACAATTTAGCCATCGAAGTCATTTCTTTGAATCCTTCGGTTTTGAGCTTGCCTGTCTGTTTTGTTAGTACGAATGTAGTGATTGGTTAATTTTTAACCAATCACATATTTTAGTGCAAGATTAACCTTTTCCCGCGCTTCTGTGGGAGCCTATTCTTTTCCCTTAAAAGAGGCGACTTTTTTCACAAGTCGTCAGTAGGATCCAGTAAATTTCGCCTGTCCACACGAGTCCACGATCTTACTCATAATATTTCAAACACAGCATTTTTTAATATAAACCCACACTTCTCACTGTGACTTAGCCATGCTCAATTAACCAGGACTCTGTTAATTTCGAACGATTCTATAACACAACACATTTCTGATCAATTGTATTCTTGTGTTATCTATTCTAACAAACAGACCTTTGTTCTAATATTGGTTCCTGAACATTTTTCTCTAAAAAAGAACTTCTTTCGAACAAGCAATTACAAACCAAAATACAATTAAAGGGGAACAACTTCTTTCTCTTAATCTATATATATTGAATACAATTTTATTGCATGTTTGTCCTTGTATGTTATTTCGATATATACTTGTTGATTCACAGTTTGGAGTTTTTGTTGTTTACTTGAATCCTGTACGTTGAAAGTGTAGTGATTGCCACGCCTACATTTTTCTCAACTGTGATTGGTCAAATAATAAATACTAAATATCACAGGACAATTTACTGATCGCATTCACCACATTGAATTTTTCCTGTCGTTAACTCACAAACATGCTTTTGTTATAAAATCACCGATTGGTTAATTTTTCATCCAATCAGATATTTTTCGTGTTCTTTCAAAATTTATCCCGCTTTCGTGCTGGGAGCCTACCGATAGTAATATAAGTCCGGATTCATTCCCAAATTAAACGGTAGAGTTGAAGACAGCAGAAACCAACTACTCACACACGTCTACATAGATTATTCATTCTACTCACTCCGCACGCACACACACAGACACAGAACTTGAATATCATTCACCATCAGTTCTTTGTGAACAAGCCAAGTTGCAACACCTCTGTTAGTTATACAAAATATACAATTGAACTTTCTGTATGTTCTTCTGAATACACATTTTATTTCAATACAGAACTCTATATTCAGAAAACTTGCTTAATTACATTTCCTAATTCAACTAACAGATAAAGGGAAACTACTTTTTTCTCCTTATTCACACATTACAAAAATTACCCTGTATTTGTTGTTGATTTTAATATATGTTTTATCGTTGAAACACAAATCGGTTTTCCATTGTTTTTCCTTGATTTTAAAAAAATGTATAAATGTTAAATGCTCTTCAACACGCAGCCACATTAATCTTTTCAACAAAACACCATTTACATTGATAACCCCAACACTTTAGAAAATAGCATTTACAAAAGTATAATAATATAAATAGTACTGGTCCATCTACTCACTGGGCCATTACAAGTTTATGAGACCATTATGCTACAGTAGGTCCTTAGATATTTATCCATACACCAAGGCAATATAGTTGTTGCTTTGGTGTATACCTATTCTAACAGAATGTAACATGAAGCTGAGTTTTAAAGTGAGAGTGTGGGTGAATAGGTTGTTTTTGTTACGTATGTCACTGATCACCAAAATGATGTTGCTCACTCATATTATAGCAGCAGAAATTAACCTTGTGTTCACGGAGATAAAAGCATACTTGACAGGAAATAAAACATACACAAATAACAGGGAAAGCATGGTAAATTGTATGACAATTTCATACAATTTATTTATATTTTTCTCGTGTGTATTGGTGCATGTTTCTTAGGTTACAATTGTTTTATGGAACATGTGGTAAAAGAGAGAATTTACTGCGTAATATTACAAGCCATATCACAGAGAGAAGTTACATTCGTGTTGCTTGTACCAAGGTTCATGGCAAAGAGATTGCATTTAATGTCTTTTGGCAGGCTGTCCGTAATTCCGGTAGGAATAGTTTTTGTTGCATGCTGGGAGTATTTTTATTATTTTTAATTTATTTCATTCAACGTTTTTATGTTACTGTTTTATTTTATTTATAATTTTCATGATTATTTTATTTTATTTTAATTTTTTTTATAATAATAATAATAATAGAAATCTCGAAAATGTGGCATATGGGAACATCAACAATCCCTGTTGTAGTTGGAGCCCTAGGACTGGTTGGAAAAGATTGCAGTAGATTAATTGAAGGGATTCCTGGAAGTCCATGCCTCAAGGAGATACAAAAAATTGTTCTGACAAGTACAGCCCACACTTTACGAAGGGCTTTATGTGATTTTTTTTGGTCAGTGGAAAGTGTCATGACGCCATTTCTAACCTTAGGTCTCTGGGTGGGACCCGGAAAGAAATGTGTAAACGCCAGAAATCAAAGAAAATAATAATGATAATAATGTCCCTACAATAGTCTTGTGTGTAGATTGAAGAAAAATTTCTCAGGCCTTCTTCATGTGGGAGTGCTGAAATGAATAAATAAATACGTACATACATACATACATACGTACTAAAGAGAGTGTGAGTGTAATTTTTATAAAAGTCGAGATATGCAACGAGTAACGAATTTGTTTCCCTTGAATTGTGTAAAGGGAGATAAGCATTATTTTCGTTTTTGGAGCTCTTTACGGAAAAGAGATTCAAATGCATTCAGTTCGTCAGCATTTACTAAAAAAAAGAAAAATGGATTCCGGAGACGTTATGAAAGATATCCCTTCGGAATTAAAAGATAGCCTTGCGAATTTAGATCAGTCTTTATCGCAACTGGGGGAGAATTTCAGTCCTCTTTTATCTACTGTACAATCTGAACTACAATCCAAGGTACGTATATTTAAAAAAACAAAGATCCAAACAAGTGAAGTAAAAATTTCCATAGTATCATTTTCTCTTCAATCCACGTGTTTGGCAGCAGTTTGTTGTGTTTTCTGTTTTGAAATAAATCAATATTTCTTCCCGCCGCTGGTACCAAACGAATTTATTTCTTCTTCTCTTAGAATATAACCTTTTTTAAATTGATATCGTTTAATTAAATTATATTTTTAATAAGCGTCTTCTAAACCCGAATGTAAATATTTTTTTTAATTTAAAAAAAAAAAGATGTTCATAACCTTTCTTTTTAACCCAAATCCTACTTACTTATTATATTTTTCTCACTCTTTCCACAAGATAAATACTTGCATGCGTAATCGAACAGAAAAATGATAAAGATCACAAAACTATTTTTTCTATAATTTTGCCACGCCTTTTTCGTCGTAAAATGTATTAAAAAGGACAAATATAAAATTCCACCGTAAAATCCGATATTTTCTCTAAAATAATTCGAAATGGTAAAAGTCTAGAATCGGGGCCATAATTCTCATGAGGAAAATGGCGAGTTAAAAATTTAATTTATTGTTTTTAATTTTATTTTCAAACATTTTTTTTTATTTTCTCGAAATACATATTCACTTCTGATATATTCCCATTCGTGTGAATACTTGTTGGTTCCTTTTTCTCTGAGAAAACGTTTTTTAGTTTTTTTTGTTTTTTTTTGTTTTTTTTCTGAATGAAATTTTTTTGTACAGCTGTTTTTTTTTTTTTTTTTTTTTTTTTTTTTGGATATCAAGGAGTACAAGGACATATTGCATTTGCATTTTGCAGCAACAATCTTCAGTCTTCACAAGTTCTTTATTCTGCAGTTGTTTCCTTTCAAAAGGTTTTAGCAAATTTTCTACTGTCATTTTTGAGCATACGAATTATGGTCCCGACTCTAACTAGACTTTTACCTTCGAAATTCATAAAAAAAAACAAACTATATAACCTATTCTATTACTGTCCACTACAATAACCATAAGCTTTTGGGATTGGCCTTGAGGCCCTTGCCATTACACTGCTTTTTTTTTTTTTTTTTTTTTTAGGTCGGCGGTCCTTTAATGGATTACATTACGTTTTGCAAGAAGTTAATTTTAATTTTTTCTTTTTAATCATTTCACCCCATGCAAGGCAGGAATGCCACTAGTACACAAGGAGTTACAGAGAGTGAAAGTGAGAGAAAAGACTGGGTATAGGTGGGACTCGGGAAAGGATAAAAGATGAACAGGGTTAAAGAAGATAAATGGCGATTGATGATGCATTTAATTGTCGTTATCAGAGAAGCAAGGAAACTGGAGTGCCACAGGCTAGAAGTAAAAGAAAAGAAACTGTTGGGTTACATTTAACTAATTCAACAGTAAAAGAGTAGGATCCAGATGTCAATCTAGTAGCACGCTTAAACTCGTGTAGTCTGGCCACCAGGGAAAAACTTGTTAGAGCAGTATCCATGAAAATATTTGTAGAAAAGACAGAGGGAAGCCATGTCTGATCAGATATGGTAACAGTATTCAATGCAAGTGGCGAATGGTAGTTTTGTAAATGTGCAAGATGGCCTTCTGGCATGACACAATGATCCAATTTTTCTTGCAGTAGATGCATCTATTGATTTGATGTAGTCATTCCATTTCAAGTCACTCTTGCAGTGCCACCAATAATCTATAGAACTAAACTTGGGAGATTCTATACATTGTTTCATTCTATCGGCAAAAAGTAACTTTACTTCTTTGGGGACATGCTTGCACTCATTACGAACAGAGACAAGAGACGTTTGTTGCAATCAGACATGTCGCTCTACAGCTGGAAGAAGTGATTCCAGTGGGTTAAAATGGCTGGGAATGCAGGTGAGATCAAAGGAGATGAATCCACTTTAATTTGGTATTTCCTTGCTGGAATGAAAGCATCGATGCCAACTTTAACCCAGGAGGAAACCTGTCGTTTACCTTTTATTTTCCAGTTTTTGAACTCCAGCTGATTAATGAACAAATTTTAACTCTGAAATATTAAAATGTTTTTTTTTTTTTTGTGAAACTGAGAAGCATGTTACATAAGAAAAATTGTAAATAAAGAGAGGATTGGTGTCAGTTTTTTCTCTTTTTTTTTTTTTTTTTGTTGTAGACCCCTCCCACTATAAAAAAAAAAAATTGGGTACTTTGATAGAGAATGTAAACATTAGTGATTGCTAAAATCATATATTGGCCTTTATTCATTTTAGGTTTACTTTGATCTTTGTCTCCACTAATCATTCTCAACTCTCTTTCTTTGCAAATGATTTTCATATAGAAATATATTGTAAATATAACTTCTATAATTTTGACAAGAGTCAAAAGCGTTCTAAGATTTTTAGGCTATTATTAAACTCTTACTTTTGCAAATGATTTTCATGTAGAAATACATTGTATAAATATAACTTCTATAAAGAATCCTTCTCATTTCAAAAGTTTTCCAGATTATTGAACCCATTCTTTGTTTCTTTTCTTATTACCAAAATGTTTCAATTGATTTAAACTGCAACATTCTTCAGGGGTACAATCCATGAAAAAAAGAGTGTAGGAGGTGGTTCCTTTCATATAGAAAAAGATGTGAACAGGAAATAAATTATGGTGAATTTAGTGACTGATTCAGTTCATTCCCAGCAATGTGATCCAAATAGATAGTATCCTCAGTAGCCTGGGGAACTCAGGGTATTCAATATTTGTATATCAAGATATTTTTGTGATAATTTATGACAATTCTAGGAAGGTGGACAGGCCAAATTAACAATGATCAAAACAACAAAAATGAAGATATATAGTAGAATAACAGAATTGCTATTTTGTAGGTAAAACTTTGTTGTGACTCCTGCCTTTGGTAGTCGTACGTTCAATGTTAATTGTATACTTGTTCTCATTTCAGCTAAATCCCCTGGAACAAGCAAAAGTCGACTTAGTTGCTGTTTATGCCATCAACTCTTTATTCTGGGGTAAGCCTTTTTTGGAATGTTTATATTTACGAAGCCTAATTTTTACAGCACAAGCACAAAAATAGTAGTGATTACGACCCATATTTCAAGAGTTCTTTTAACCTGTTGAACTTGGTCTTCTATAGACTGAAAAATTTTAGCAACAACAAAAATGAGCAGAAGTAGTCCAAAAACTATTAGAAAGCAATTTTCTGACCCTTGACAGTCACTATGCAGTTGTGATTTCTATGTCTATACTTTCTGTTTTCATAAACATTCAATTTCAAATAACAAGTACTCTTGCCAGATAGGCTTACAAACACATCACATTGAAACACTTGTTCCTGTACAATCATCGAAGTTAAGTAATATCTAGCTTGGTCGGTACTTAAATGGGTGATCACTTTGGAAAACCAAGTGCTGTAAGCTTGGATGTACGGGTGGGAAATGGATATTGGCATGGAATTGTTACTCATTAGCGTTTCAATTCCTGTTGGGGTCATTATATTAACTTACATGCAAATACACATGGGAAAGATATAAATCCCCACTACCAGCTTTGCGTTAATTAATAAAACTTCTATCACTATACCATTTTTATCTCCCCCAAAATTCTTACAATCTAAAAATATTTTATGGCTATAAGAAATCTTGTTAGATAAATGTAGCAAATTCTAAACAATATAATTTTGTGTATATATATATATATATATATATATATATATATATATATATATATATATATATATCCGATATATATAAAAAAGCAAATATATGGAAAGATAGTATGAAGAAAAATATATGGAAAAAAACAAAACAAAAAATCCTTATGTGCGATTATGTTGTTTTAATGTTAATATGTCAACGTCTGACGTTTCGGTCTAATAAACCATCTTCAGGACATATTCATAAATTATAACATTATCAATACAACATGACAAAGACGATGTACATTAGAACAAGACTTATCCAAACAATAACTGAAAGTTATATGTTTCAAACGGAGCGCTGATATTATAAAAATTTTTTTCCATTTTACCAAAATGGATGTTAAACACTTCAGTGATCATGGCTAGTACAGCAGTTTTTGACCAAAATTAAATGCCAAATTGATATGTATTGCAGTTTACTTTTTATAGCACCAGTGCTGATATTTTTTGATCAGACATTGTATGTGATACCATGATCAAGTGGCTGCAGCGAATGATGTGTGTGGAGGCAGAAAAAGCACTTGAATATATTTCTCCTGATGCATTAAAGATTCAAGATAACCAGGAAAGATTGTTGATAATAAGAATCTTGAGATAATAGCTGCTGCTTCTTGTGGTATTTCTTCATTTTGGGTATTAAACAGGTGTGCAGCAAATGACCATAACCCAAGCTGCTTTATTGTGTTACCAGATTACATGTAGACTATTTTTCTATTGTTCTTAATGGCACAGAGATTGGAGTAATGGATAGTGGCTCAGATTAGGGAATCAGAAAGCAAATTCCAGTCTGATCCATTATATTCACTTATGTGCTAATAAATAACTCTGGGAAAGGTATATGTTGTAGCATACCTATAAACGATAATGGGTATGTCCACATTCACATATTTACAGTAGTAAATACTGTATGTTGGTCTGCAGTTGGAGATTCATTATGGAATTCACTTGACTCCCTTCTAGCAGTTGATGACTTCTACATGTTGCTGATGAATCTTATATGTGTTGTTCTTGTCCTAAGTATTATCATTCATTACTAACCTTCGTGTGATTATTCTATTTAGTAACCTTCCCTAGGTTACAACAGTATGAATCCACTTCTCCACCCCCCAGCTATGGGTAAATAGCAGAACAGACTGGGTTTTATAAGCCTTGGTTGGCAACTGGTCTAATAGAAAGTAACTCTGAATTCAAAACTGTATGTGGCCCTAGTGTAGCACATACTATTCTACTAAAGAAAGGTTTATTTGCATTGACTTGATGATCCTGACGATGGTCGACCTGGTTGAATTGTTAGTCCTGTATATTAGGGCTGGCTTTCTCCTGACAGAGTGTGTAAACAATATAGCACCAGAGTGAATTGATAAATCCTTCAAACTTTAAATTCTGGGTCCTAGTTGGCACTCTTATAAATCTAGGTATGATGTAGGGTTTTTTTTTTTTTTTTTTTTTTTTTTTTTCTAGAAAAGGCATGTTTCATCAGAGTTGGAGATTTGCCCTTGTCTGTATCTTTTTGTTCATGATATTTTTTTTTTTTTTTTGAGTCTTGTCAATACCATAAAGGGGTACCCCTTGGGAATACCATCTGCTGTATACTTGAATATGTGGGTGGTGTAATGGATAATGGCTCCGAATTTTTAATTGGAGAGCTTAGTTCCAATTCCTATTGGGTTCATTAGATTTACTTACATGCAAATGAATCTGGAAGATGCTGACCAGCTTAACATTCAGAGATTGGAGAACATTGCTAAACTATTCTAACAATATGGTAAACTTAAATTCTAAATCTATTCTTGACTCATCTGGACTATCTTTGCTTGACTTTTCATTTAGAGTTGAGTCTCTGTTGAGTGTTATGCATATAACTCCATCTATAATCTTTAAACTAGATCATCACAAAGCATGATGGTATCCCTGCAATAGTTTTTGAAAATATGCTCTTGAACTGGCTCCTGTTTTGTTTAACCTCTACAATAAATACCTTGCTGCGGCTTGCTTTCCTGCTTGTTGGAAATTCTCTTCTGTAGTTCCAGTCTTTAAGAACTCTGGCAAACTGTCCGATCCTTCTATTGGCCACGTAACCTGCTGCTGCTTTTTAGCAAAGTACTAGAAGCTCTAATGAACTCTGAGTGAGTTAAGTATCTCACTTTATATGGCCTTCTTTCAGATTAGCAATATGGTTTTTGCTTCTCTCAGTCAACAGTTATTACTTTCAGTTTCTTACTTTGAATGTTGCTGCCACATATTTTAGATTGTAAGATTTTTGGGGGGCTTACTAATTAACCCATAGCTAGGAGGAGAAGAGGTGGACTTTGACCTTTCCCTGATGGTATTTGCATATATGTAAATATAATGAACCCAGCATGAGTTGGTCTGGTGCTTCTGCTATATATTTAGAGATTCTTGATAAAATACAAAGAATCTGCAATGTTATAAGTCGTCAGCTGGCATCTCAGTTTCAGTCACTTTTCCATTCCATAATGTAGCTTCCCTGTGCCTTTTTTATAAATACTTTCTTACTTTGTCTATTGTTCTGATGAACTTTCCTTTATGGTACCTAGACTTTATAGATTTAAGTGCAGTACTAGATTGGCAGCTAGGTCTCATCATTTTGCAGTTCAGTTGGCCAAATGTAACCGTGAGTTCTATGCTAACACTTTCTTTTTTTGCTTGTCTCATTTGTGGAACTCTCTTCTGGCATTTTGCTTTCCAATCAACTTTGATCTTCAAAAATTTAAATGCAATGTCATTCGTTATCTTCTGTCTTCTTAATTCTTGTTCTTTTCTTCTTCTCTCTCTTTAATAGTTTTTTTTTCTCATTCTGTCACACTCAGTAATCCCGTCCGTCTTCGTGGCTTTATTGCCTTGGTTGGCATGAAAAAAAGGAAAAGAAAACAAAACTACGAAGTATTTTTTTCTTTTTTTTAATCTAAGGGAGAAAACTCCGGAAAAGAATGCGATTAGAAGTTGTTAAGAGTTTTCTCCCTTACATTAGGTGATGCGGGTTTAATGTGAAGCAAAATAAGATTTCAAACTTTTTGTTAACTGCATACAAGAAAATAACAAAGTTTAAAAAATAAAACTATTTTTGATTATTTAAAGGAAATTTTAGACTGATTTTACTGTCAATTTTTGTCATTGAAAATTAACTTCAATTATGCCTTGATTTGTGTCTGCTGACGACCAAATTTGATTCTGTGGTTAAAAAGTAATAAAGTTGCCGTTATAGAGACGTAGGATTCAATGAAAATTACTACATTGCTTAAATGGATTTTGGAAAAAATGATTACTGATTTTTGAAATTTTTTTTTATTTATATAATTATAAATATAAATATAGTGAAAAACAAACAAAACATTTGTATAAAGTGGGTCTGTTACCTGTCAACTCAGTTCAAAGATCAAGTGTTATTAGAGTCAGCTTTGTTTACTTGTATGCGATGAAAACCTACTTAAGTCTGCAATAATCTCCCGTGACAATTAAAGCATGAAAGACCAATAATGATAAAACTTGATATCACTTCCAATAGCGAAAAAAAATTAAAAAATTAACCACTGCCATATGACAGGTGACACTCTAATAAGAACCTATTTAGTTGTAGCTCCTTTTATTATGTATATTTAACTGTCTACTTTACTTTGTTTTAGCTTATTTAAACACTTGTGGATTGAATCCAAAAGGGAAAGGAGTAAAGACAGAATTGGTGAGTAATTTTCAATTTTTATCTTTGACAAATATAACAGCGTTTTCTGAGATTATGAAGTTGCCTCAAAAATGGCAGGAGATAGTAAAAAGAAAACCCCCAAAAAACAATAAGATTAAAATGTTCAATAAAATTGAGGTTGACAATAAAATTTGTTTAATTTTGATAAATTTAAATTTTTAAAATTAAATTAAAATTTTTAAAATGACATGTGACCAGCCTAATGTTGATATTGATTTGCTTTTTCAATAAAACTATTTTTTAGTTTTTTACTTACTAGCAACTTAAATTCTTTTTTTTTAAATTTTTTTTTTTAGCCAGTCTTTTCTCTTGTATTCAAATGAATAGTTTAAAATTTTTTTCTTCCCAGCTTATTTTTACTGCCTGAATTTCTGAGATGCAGAGTTACTATCACTTGGACTATTGTCTTAATATTTGTTGCTGTTATTGTTTTAATATTTCTTGCTGTTCTCAACAACATAGATAAGGAGTTATTTTCATTTGGCTTATTGTCCTAATATTTGTGGCTATTATTGTCTTAATATTTGTTACTATTATCAAGAACATATTTGCTGTTGAGCCTTCTTACTTTTTTTAGGTGTGTGTTATTTTGTGGGGGGTGGCGGTGGCGGTAACCTTCAAGGAATTTTAAACTGAACCCTTTATTTAATAAACAGGATGGATTGTTCTCACTTCACTGTTCATTTTGTTGGGATATCTTGTTCTATTTTTAAAACTGCCTAGTCTGAGTTTGTAATACTTGGCCCAGGGATTGAACTCCTAATTATTATAAGAATTTCTAGTTAGAAAGAACTGCATCAGGTGAAGGAGGTCAGGTGCAACAGCAGGCAGACAGACAGACAATAAGGCTTAAGGCTCCCAGTTCCACAGGGTGTGGCATAAATACTGTTACTGCAAAATTTCTTATTTTGGCATACAATTTTAACACAATTAAGTATTGATCTGTTAACACCAGAAAATCTCATTCAATGTGATTCTCTTTAGCATTCAACACATGTCAAATGTCTTTCAGGAAAGTCAATGATGGCTGCACATTCAGTTTCTATGGGTATTTTGCTCTTTTCAATCTTTACCTTCAGAGCTTCAATATTGTGGTGAAGAGTAGAACTGGCTTCAGTCTCAAGAACTGCCCGTAAACAATAGTCAAGAGAGTTGATATCTGTTGAAGTGGGAGGCCATTTGTCCCTGGTGATGAAACCAGGACAAATGTTACACAAGCAGTATGGCTCATTGCTCCATTTTGCTGAACTGTTGTCTAATGTTCATCACCATAAATGGCATTGAACCATGGCTTGAGTGTACCTTTCAAAATGTCCTTAATGTACATTGTTGATGTTTACCTCTTGAGACATGAAAACAAGAGGTAACTTGTCTCTATCTGGAATAGCCGCCCAAACTATAACTGATGCTGGTTTCTGAGGCATTTTCTTGAAGTTGCAGGAACTGACTGATGACCTGTTGAAAGAACATGATCATTTAATTAAAATTTCAACACTGAACCATTTCTCATCAGTGACTGATGATGTTTTGCAATGTGCCATTGCAAATCAGTTTCAGCAGCTGCTTACTTCTTTAAAGCCTCTTTTTCATTTTGGCAACTGAAAAAGAGGCTGTCTCTTGGTTATCATGTAGGGTGACATCCCGGGATCATTTCATTATAGCCTTCACATGGTTCTCTCTGATATTCCAGCCACTTTCTCATTGATCTTCTTAGATTATACCTGATTTTTTCACACACCTGTTTAATGAGTTTTGATGTTCTGGAGGTGTGAGGATGTCCTGGTCTCAGTTTAGCCTTGATAGAGGAAATCTTGTATTGATTGTTTGTTCTTTTGATAAACATTCTATTGATTTCCAAGTTGTTTTAGAGTTTTAAAAATCTCAGGTGGAGGCAGTCTGTTTTCATGTTGCTCATTTATATACTTTCTTTTAATTTCTAATCACATTGTTGCCAGTAAATACTAAAACACTTTGAATAAACAAATAGTATACATTGTTGGGGGAGTATGAAACAACAAAGTAATGACCAAAAATTTAGAATATTGCTGCTGCATATGGTCTGGTGCTCCTGCTATGTATTTGGAGATTCTTGATAAAATCCAAAGGAGAATCAGCAATATTATTGGTCCTGACCTGGTATCTCAGCTTCAGTCACTTTCCCACTGCCATTATGGTTGTTCCCCTGTGCCTTTTCTATAAATATTTTCATGGTAATTGTTTGGATGAGCTCTTCGCTATGGTGCCTAGGTTTTGTGAATTTAAGTGCAGTACAAGATTGGCAACGATTTGACTTGACTAAATGTTAACTGTAAGTTCTATGTTAACAGTTTCTTCTCTTGCACTTCTCCACTTAGGAGATTCCCTTCTGGCTCCATGCCTTCCAGCCAACTTTGATCTTCAAAGATTTAAATGCAATGTCAATCGTTATCTCTAGACATGAATAGCAAGATGAAAACAATCTCCCACCCCCGCCTCTCCCCCAAATACAAAAACTGTCGATTAAATTTTGTTTGAAATTCCCTGAAGGTCACCCAGAACCCCAAACATCTGAGAAAGGTTGGAGGGCATAACAACTGAAACATTGTGATAACAACAACAATGATGAGGATATTAGTTTGACTCTGCCATATTTTCTTGTGCCATACGAGGAATTTTTAATGAAAATTAAAGGCAAAAAAAGATGAGGGTGTGTATTATACACAAGTAAATGATTTCAGAAATGTTTACTCAGCTTTATGCCCTATTTTTTAAAACAGGTAGAATGCATTTCCACTCACTTGGCACAATAGATAATAAAAACACAAAATAGGCAGGTGTTGATTGTTTACAAAAATGTATTTGATATGTCGCCAATATTTGTATCTCTCTTCGTTCTTAATGAAAGACAATATTTTTTTATTCTCATAGTTTATTAATATATAGAAGTATAATAAAGTCATCTAAAACAGAAAAGTATAATAGATTAATTAACACCTTAAAATGTATTACTGGGTATGTTGAGTTAGCACCTTTCCCCCCAAAATAAGTTTTGAAACAGAAATTAGGAGAAGAAACACACAATGGCTAAACATTTGTTTCATTTCTGTTTAACCTTTAGCAAATTGCATTCTTAATATTACTTCAAATTCCTCTCAATTGCAGTATCATTATTGTTAGTTGTTTTCTGTTGCCATAGAAGGATATGACAACACAACTATAAAATTCAAACACAGGGATCAGTCACATTCAATGGTAGGATAAACTTTTTGTACAGCAAATGAAGTCACATACAGAGTGATAAATTAGATATGAAAAATTAAATATTTTAGTGAAAGATATGTGCAACATTGAGATCTTAATGGATAATATGATACAACTTTTCAAAAACGTTTACATAGGAATCCCTGTACATAGGGATGTATTATACTCAAGATTGTAATTTATTTCCTGTTATTAGCATCAGAAACACAGAAACATAAAATCCAGTAAATAAATTTTTCTTTTTTTATTTGTTGTTGTTGGCAGTAATTTCACATTCACTGATCTTCAGTTTGCTTTTTTTTTTTTCTTTCACTTTGTTTTCTTTTCCCTTCTTTGTTAGGATCGAATCCGTACGTACATGAACCGAGTGAAGGAGATTGAAGACAAAAAGAAAGCCCCTAGAATTAATGCTGATGCAGCTTTGCGTTTTGTACGTAACTCACTTTGGGATGCAGCTCACAAAAAAAGTACAGCATTGCAACCACAATCTCCAGCAGGTAATTCTTTCAGCTTCCGATCGATCAGTCTGTGAGGGTTTGTTGATAATTTCTTGCTGATCAAATGAATCCTTTTTAGATTCCTCTTTAGTTGGGTCATCATCTTTACAGCATTTCATTAGACTTGACCCGTTTTTCAAATGTCATGTTTTTTGGTTTTTTTTTTTTTTTTTTTTTTAATTATGATTATTATTAAATAACCCATCTTGGTAAGGCTGAGAATTTTTACATGCACCCTCCCTTCAATTTCCACTTTTAAAATATCTTTATATTAATGTTCTTGTAAGTAAAAACAACTGTTTGTTTAAACTGTAAAATTATTGAATGAACAGAGTTGAAATTTGATACACAGTAATTTCTTGATAATGTCCTCCTCTTCCCCAATAGTCTAGGTCTATAAATAAATATGGCACAAAAGTGTAACCACAAAGTAAAACCTTGTATTTATAAATATTTTTGCAGGGATATTAAATTAAAGCAATAATAGACATATTAAAACAAGAAAATTTATAAAAAAAAGGAAGTTAAGAAAAGAAAAAATATTACTGTACAGTGGTAATATAAAAACCTGATTAATAAAAAGAAATATTACTGTACAGTGGTAATATCAAAACCTGATTAATAAAAAGAAAACAATCTTAACTTTTATTTTTATATTACTACTTTGCAGAAAGATTTTTTCTTCTCTTTTTTTTTTTTTTTGTATTTATCAGTGTATTTCTTGAATAAATAACTGAAACTTAATAATATCAGAATTATTTACCCTTTTTAGATTTGAATGTATTTTAAAATCTAAAAAAAAGGGGCAGATAATTCTGAATCTGTGATTTCCAGTTGGAGACGGCAGGTGGCATTAGAAGCAAGAAATTTTTATTTTTTTTTTTTTTTTTTTTATCTAGAGTTCCCTTTGGTAAGTTCTTTTGAAAAACGCATTTGTCTTATAATAATGGCTGGTTGTTTGTTTCCAAGTAAGCCTGTCTGTGAGAGTGGCTATTCTTCAGCACACAGAGCCAACCTCTGGATTTATACTGCAACATTGCCTTGCAGTTTCTGGCTGAAAAACACCTAATCTGGTATGATCAGTAGTTGAACAAGCATGCAAACTCTCAGTTACTATTGCTTGTGAATTTGAGCTAAATTTATTAAGTATTCCACATTGTGATAATAGATTGGACAAAGAAAAGTGACATCTAAAAACCTGGATGAAAATTTACAGCGAATGATCTAGCAATCAAAGAACTTTCTATATACTTTTGCCCTTGTAAATTGCTTTCTCTTTTAAAGTATCATTTTTTTTTCTTAAATCAAAATTATGTTCAGACTTATTACAGTGAGCAACCAATGCATTTAATGTGTTATTTTGTAAAAGATCCCTTTTGTCTTCATATAATCTTTTATTTAAATTCCTTGAGGTTTCTCTGATATTTATTTCTTGTGGAAATTTTAGTTTATTTGTTTTGTATTAAGTCTGTCATTGTATTAGAAGTTGTTGTAATAAATTTTATGTTAAGCTTAGATAATTTTTTTTTTCAATTGTACCTGTGTCTAGGTGGGTAGAACAATATATCTTAATTTGTTGGACTTTGTCATTAATTTACCTAACTTTTTTTCTGATATATAATGTAAAAATTAATTTATATTAATATTGAGCATTTTAATTTTCAAAGACTGCTCAACCAAAAAGCATTAAATTTCAGAAATACACTGACGCGTTTTTTTCTTTTCTTTACTTTGAGAAAAATAAAATCTGTGATTATTATAAAAAAGGATATTTATGTAAGATTTTATGTTTTACAATTGAAAAAATTAAAAGCAATAAAAATCTTGTCGGCATTAAGTAACCCATTGAGGTTGATATGCTGTAAAACGCACCAAACCAAACCAAATGAACCTTTGTTGCATGACCAGAGAGAAAATGAAGATTTAGAGAAAACAAAAACCACATTAAAAATTGCAGGACAAGATGTACACTTGAGGAAAGCTTGAGAGCCCACCAGTTGAAATGAGGACAATAAAGATACAAATAGTTTAAAAGGTGATTTTTAAAAATGGTTGTTCTCATTTTTGTTATCATCATCTCACTGTTTCGGCTGTTGAACTCTCTGAATTTCTTCAAGTGCCTCCCACTCTTGGTAACCTTAATTGTGAATGGAACTGTTTATTTAATCCATGGGGGTAGATTCTATTTATTCTCTTGTCTCTGTGTAAAGATCTCTTGCTTGTTCTTTATCACTAGGTTGTCTCTAGACATGGACAGCACAATAAGGACACTCTTTTTGGGTTAGCTTAGGCTACAAATGTTGAATTGGGTTACATTTGAAAGTCCATTGCTACTAAATTTTGAATTGGTGATCTAAAAGATGCAACTCGTGACTCACACTAAACATTCAGGAAAGGTTTAATTGTTATATCTTCCTCTTTTTTTGTTTTTGTCTGCGGAAATAAAAGAAAAGTCTCTTCCTCAAATAAACTGAGAAAAATGTAAGACCTTGATATTTGGTGGTAATAAATGTAAGAAAAACTTTTTTATTAAAGATTAAATGTTATTCAGTTTCCTTTCTTTTTCATTATCAGGTTCTGCTGATGGTAAATCCAAAACAGAAGCACAGAAAGAAGAAGCAGCAGAACAAGAAGATGAGAATATTCCCTCTGCCAGTAAAATGCAGAAAATGTCCAATATGAAGAAGGGCAAAAAGAAACAAAAGAAACACTTCAAACCAAAAGGCAAAATGTCAAAGAAAAGCTGATTGCTAGCCATTTTTAACCTGTTGTACAAAGTTGTTTAGATAAAATTTTAATTTTTTTATTTTCTGTTGTACAGGAAAAAAAATACAGAAAAAAAATATTACAACTCGTTTTGTTTTTACATTGATGAATGAAAGTATGGTCATCATGTTCTTTAACTTTGTCATATTTGTATAAACATCGTTGCTTTGGATGTGTTTCTGGATGAATGTTAAGTTGAAAAGTGTGTTTCTTGCTGCTTTCAGTTAATCATTGTGCTTGTAAAATCTGTCATACCTATCAGAAATAATTTACTGTTTTTAGTGTTTTATAATCTGAATGTATTTAAAAATTTGTTTAAAATGGTTTTCAAACATACACATACACACATATATAAGTATATGAAAACAAAAATATGTTAAAAATTGCTACATAATCGCAATTATGTTTCAACACTACAAATGTGTTTCCTTGGGTGATGGTAAATTGGTAACAAAGAATACTGGACTGTTATGTAATATCAGTCTTCTTATATTGCAGTGAATTCTGGACCATCTCCTAACAGATGGAGAAAAGACTTTAAGCAGCAGAAATGTCTCCTCAGGTGACATTAAACTAGTTTACTATTGCTTGAGGAGACACATTTGTAGTGTTGAAACGTAATTGCCATTGTGTAGTGATTTTTGAGATGTTCTTGTTTTAATATCCTAAAATAAATAATATTTAGTTCTACTCTGTATTGAGCCCACTTTTAAATTTAATGTTACATACACTAGAATTATACTCCAATTGTTCTCATTTTACCTGTGTGTGTGTGTGTGTGTGTGTGTGTGTGTGTGTGTGTGTGTGTGTGTGTGTGTGTGTGTGTGTGTGTGTGTATGTGTATATATATATATATATATATATATATATTAGTGGATCAGCCGATTCTGCTACAAAATCACCTTTGTGTATCTTCGTGTGATTTTGGTCAATTGCGTCTCGAAATATTATTATAACTAATTTTTCTTGTTGACAAAAGTTGCAGATGTTGCTATGATTGTTGTAAGGTTTTTACTTCTTTTTCTTTTTTTCCTTTAATTTCAACACATGGTTGGCTAGTTTAGTAGAATTCCTAAGATTTTCTAGCTTAAAAGATGACTTGTGATTGTACCACCCCTTTTTAAAGTTGCCCTCAGTACACCCTATGTGTATTTTTTTTGTCCATTTGTAGCTATTGCATCTGCTTTGTAAGTTACTGCTTCACTTTTGTTTCTACAATTGCATATTTCACTGTTAACAATGTTTTGCTGTACGTTAGTTTTGAAATTTATTTAAAAAAAAAAAAAAAAAAATAAAGTGCTAGGAAATCAATTGACTGAAATCACCTGAAGGTACCGAATGGTTTAAACTAAGGTAGCAGAATTGGCTGATCTCCTAATTATTTTATATTTAAAAGCTAAAACTTAAATTTTTATGTGTATTGAGCACTTTTTAATACAACTGTTTCCTGGTCTAATTCAACTCTGACCATTAATTTTTTTATTCTACACATATATATCTCCAAATGAGAGAAAGAACAGATGGAGTAAAATTCCACTAATTAGCATTTACTTTAAAATCGTGCTCAATACAAAGTAGAGCAATATATTATTATTTTTATTATAAGAGATTATAATACAAGCATATTTTAAATCGCTACACAAAAGCTTTCATGTTTCAATACTATGATTGTACTTCTTCAGGCGGTGATAAGCGACTGGTGATTAAATGCTGTCACTTAATTTAAAGACAGTTTGATGTATGTAGGTCCTTACTTTCTGTACAGACAATTATTTTTACTTCATGTGTGGCTTATGCTGAATTTCGCAATTAATTTCGATTATTCCCAAATTTATTTCCAAGTTATAAAAATTATTATTGTACAAAAAAATCACGTAAAAAAAAAAAAAAAAAAATAAATAAATGGACAAAACAATTGCAGTAATGAAAATTTGGGAATCCAAAATTTCAGGATTGTGGGTTTGGATATGGCCCAGAATGTTTTTAATTTGCTCACAGTTAGCCTGATTCCAAAATGGTATATGTTGGGTTATGGCCTCTAGGAGTAAAGTTGAAAAAGTGTAACACACTGATATTTGCATTTATTATATACAAAGGAGTCATGAAAACTGAGTTGGTTCCTTAAGTGTATGAACTGGTGTGTCTAAGCTTTATATCTTGGTAAGCCTATGAACTATTTTAGCCTTCCCTTGTAAAACTAGGAGAAAATAATGATGTAACAAAGCCATTGACTTATCACACACCCTCAGGAAGGAAACTCCTCAATACTAGAGAGAGTGATAATGGTGAACCTGAGTACTCCAATTAAAACAATTTAACGCCCATCGTTTGGTTAATGAGTGTTGTCTGTTTTGTGTATGCAAACGGTTATTTTCACCATTACTACTTATGGTACTTATCCAACAGCAAAATCCTTATTTTAGACAGTTATGTGCCATGCGTGATACATGCTTAGGCGATCATGTATCTTTCGATACATGACTGACGAGGCATATTTTTCCTGCAGTAGGTTACCATTTCTTTCTGCAGTAGACTAGTTGCCGTCCAAGGCTATAGAACCTGGTCTGTCCTGCTATTTACTCATAGCTGGTAGATAATGATGATTCATACCTTTCCCAAGGGTATTAGAATGTAAGAGAACGTAATGGATTCGACTGGAATTCGAACTCTGCTCTCCGATTCCTCAATCCAAGCCGCTATTCATTACTCCACTCTAGCTCATTCTACAATCCTTTATCCAATGTAATGGCTTAAGGCCATATCATGCTGAAACATTGGTTCCCATTGAGTCTGGTTAGTACCAAGATGGGTGACTGCTTGGGAATACCAGCTGCTGTAAACTTGGATGTGAAGATGGTGTAATAGATTAGCAATTCCATGCCATTATCCAAGAGCAGAGTTTCAATTCCTACTAGGTCCATTATACTCGCTCACATGCCTCACCCTTGGCCCTTTTCTACCTCCAGCCCCTCAGCTATGGGTTAATTAGTAGGGCTTGTATCAGAAAATCATTATTATCTCCAAAAAGTATCTTTCTGGCTTTAAATAACCTGCAAAAGGTTGATAAGCCGTAAAAAAAAAAATTAGCCAATGTTAGATTCAACAAAATCAAATTGAGAGAAAGCGATTTGGGAATTGTAATATTTTTGTATACAATTATTTTGCTGTGTTCAAAGTATTTAAAATTCAACTTTCGATTAGAACAGAATAAGTAAATATGTATCGAATAACTTATTGTAATATCTCGTGTGTCGGTTTTGAGGAATGACAACCTGGTTGGTGTAGGCATGTGCTTCCTTGTATTTGTAAATCGGAGAGCCGTGTTCCAATTTCGGTCGAGTTCATTATATTTACTTACGTGCAAATACCTTTGGGAAAGGTGTGAATTCACCTCTTCTCCCCCATCTATGGATTAATTAGCAAGACTCGTATCATTGAATTATTATTATCTCTCCACAAAGTCTTACAGTCTAAAAGTATTTTCTGGCTTTAAGTAACCTGCAAATATTTTAAGCCGTAGACAACGAATCGATCTTAACCAACGCCAAGGCCCCCCAAAAATAATGTTCTTCATAAAAGCTCAATTGGGAAGGATATTAAAAGAATGCAGAACCAAAACTGACAGCAAACCACCTGTGTCTTCTCACCAGACTTAGAGTGAAGCGAGCCTCAGAGAATTCGAAGTCCCCTACAGGATTCATTATTGGCGGCCGCAATCTTAACAATATAAGATACTAGCAGTAGAGCCCGTCGTTGCCCGGGGATGTAACAGTAAGAGATAGATCAAGTATCGACCATCATAAAGACTGAAAAATAAAATTGACAAAGATTATTGTTTAAGGTTGACGGACGCATGTCTTTATTAGTTTTTTTTTTTTTTATTATTTTTTTTTATTTTTTTTTTTTTGACAAATTGGTCAAACTCAAACAAAAACATTGTTTTCAATCGTTATGAGTCTCTACCGATTGAATAGAATTTTATTATAAACAATTGTCTTGTAAATGGAATTTTTAAAGCATTCTGAATGTAAAAAAAAAAAAAAAGTGTGCAAGACAATAAGAAACACTACATGCAAAAAAAAAAGTGAAGTTTTGTTGAAATCAGTTGAAAAATGTAGGTAGCCTTTCTGTAATCTTTTAGTTTTACAATTTATGATTTTTACTTATTGAATACAGTAAAAAAAAATTGCATATTTTGCTTGTGGTGATTCATAATTAGAATTTGATTTGAATATATTTTCCACTCGTTGTTTCTAATACAAAAAATATTAACTTTATTTGGGTTTATTAATTATGATCTAACAAATCTTATTCATTTAGTAGCCTTTCTGTAATAATAATAATCTTTTTACAATTTATGATTTTTACTTATTGAATACAGTAAAAAATTGGACACCATGTGTATTTAAAGTAGTTTCCCGTTCGGTTATTATTTTTTAGTTAGGACTTGTGTATGTTTAGATTTCATTATCTTTCCCTAAAGATAAATAATTTATCCGATGTTTGTATTCGTACAATCAGTAGATATCGTTAGATTATTGTTTAAGGTTGACGGATACGCATGTCTTAATTAGTTTTTTTTTTTTTATTATTATTATTTACGAATTGGTCAAACAAAAACATTGTTTTCAATCGTTATGAGTCTCCCGATTGAATAGAATTTTATTATAAATAATTGTCTTGTAAATGGAATTTTTAAAGCATTCCGAATGTTAAAAATAAAGAAAAAAGTGTGCAAGAGAATAAGAAACACTACCTGCCAAAAAAAAAAAGTGAAGTTTTGTTTTATCGGCTGAAAAATATAGGAAATCCGCTCCCATATTTAAAGGAACCCACACACACAAACAACCCGATGTGAGTTGTCCCCCTTCCATTTTCACGATGTCTCTTAATCGTGTTTTCAAATTGATTTTGTGCAAAAACAATTATATTTTTCCCATTTTTGGCGCTGTTAGAACCACCACAAGGTAATTTTATGTAGTCCTGTGAAGTTTTGTTGAAATCGGTTGAAAAATGTAGGAAATCCGATCTAATATATAAACGTTACAGACACACACACACGATCTGCGTTTTATAATAAGTAAGATACAGGTGAGACTGTTGATAGCAGACACAAAGGAAAGTACAGAATTTCCTATAGAAGGTAGGGAGGGAAAGCGAGAAGAAAAGACTAAACACCAATTCCAAGAAGCCAGAATGCATGGTTCTTAGCAAAAGGAACAGCTCAACATGCAAATTACAAATTGCAGATACCAAAATTAAACCACTACAACCATTTAATTATCTGGGAAAAGTTTTAACAGAGTACGCATAGTGCGGCATTGAAATTATAGGCGCATTGGGATAGCGAAAATGCCTTACAAAAGCTAAGCAAAGTATTAAGAAACAAGTAAATTTCATTAGTAAAAACGAAAAGAATACTGGACTGTTACGTAATATCACTCTTCTTATATGGCAGTGAATGCTCGGCTCGACTGACAGCATACTAGTACCGTCTGCTGCCCGGCGCTCGCGAGCAAATTGACGACGTCACCGACAATGGCGCAGCAACCAGGCGGCCCGGATAAGCGACGGGGCTTTGGCGGCAGCACGCTACCTAGCTCCCGCGCGCCTGCTTCCCTGCCCGATCGCCTAAGCAGTGAATACGCTTCGTGTAACAACCTTTGCTTTTTTCAATATTCTCATACAATCAGCGAGCGAAAGTGTGCGCAAGCGTTGTAAACGATTGGCCGACAGTAAGCAACAGGTTTAATTCCATTTTCGACCAAGATTTCTTAAAAGTGTTTTTTGTTTCTGCCAGAGGTGCGAATGTCACTCGTGAGAATCAGGTCAAATAAGGATGAGATTCTGGAATATGGAAAATGTTCCAATTAAGGTTGATATGAGCGATCCTCATCTCTATCTGAAAGTGTGTCATATCGCTGATGAAAACAAACCTGATCTATAAAGATTTACTTGGATTAACTCATTTCAATTTCTTTCTTTGTATGTGACATGTCCTTTTAGGACGTAGGCGATCATGGCTCTCCACCTCCTTCTTTCCCTTGCAGCTCTCAATAAATTCCTCCTATCTGCTATCTTCCCCAGACCACGTTCTGTCATCCACCTGCTCAAGGCCGCTAGGAATGTCACGCGCTGCTTTCCCTTGTCTCTCTTTCCATCTGTTCGACACGTGAGTATCAGATTCTCAAGGAACTCCTTCCTCGTTATGTGTCCCAGAAACTTCAGCTGCCTCTTCCTGATGTTAAGCATGACCTTCCTCCTTGTTTGCATCCTCTCCATGACCTCATCGTTGCTCACACGCTCGGTCCACGAAAATCCTCAGCATCCTTCTGTAGAACCATATCTCCGTCTTCTGGAGTCTCTTCTTAATCTTTGAGGGAATCGTCCAGCACTCGCTGCCGTAAAGAAGGACAGGTGTCACGTAACAGCTCAGTATTTTTCATTTTGTTACCAAAGATATTCTCCTGTCTCGCAATACTTTGAAATGCGTCCTTGGCCATTCCAATACGTCTACGGAACTCAGTATCGCACTTACCGTTCTTTGTCTAGACGCTTCCCAGATATTTAAACTTCCGTGTCTGCTTGATTCTAGTGTTCCCGACTTGCAAATCGTATTTCGGGCTCATCCTTTTACAGATGAACATGCATTCCGTCTTCTTTTAGTTTGTGCTAGCAATTCCTTTATCGAATGAAAAGAAAACTCTAGCACAATTTCAATAGATTGAAGACTTAAGATTGTACCTAATGACTAATCCCACTGAAGCTCACAATTTCACCCCCCCTCACTATACTCCAAAAGCGACAGAAACATGGAAATTCATGGTATCGCAATTTTTTAACATGAAACATATTTTTCCTTCTTTTGAAATAAAAATTAGATCGCAAGTCAACCTTTGACACCGGTTAGGGTGTCATAGATAAAAAACAACGCAAAGACATTGAAGAGATTTCGGAAATCTTCAGGGCAATGTAATTAGGTCACCAAAAATCAGATACTCGTTCATGCCGCAGTCTTTGATGTGATTAAAAGGTTGAATGTCTCCAGCGGTAAGTGTATTCTTTATCATTTTAGACTTTGGCAATCGTATTACATATGAAGATTAATTGATACGTAAGGTCTCCAGTCATCGCACACAAATTTTAGATAAGATAAAAGAATGAACATGGGGTCAAAATGAAGGAAATTTATTTCTCTTCAAAATAGGGTTGATTGGTAAGTAAGGCCTCCAAACCTATAAAACAAGTTTTAGACCAGGCAGAATAATGAAATTGGTATCAAAATGAAGTAAATTTATTTCCTTTCAAAATCGTGACGGTTGATTGATATGTAAGGTCTCAAATCAATCAAACAAGTTTTGAACCAGATAGACTAATGAAACGGATATCAAAATGAAGTAAATTTCTTTCTTTTCAAATTTACGAGTGTTGATTGATAACTAAGATCTCCAATCGTATAAAACAAATTTTAGCTCTGATAGAATAATGAAACTGGAATCAAAATGAAGGGAATTTATTTCCCTTCAAAATACTTCTAATGTGTCCTCCTGAACTCTTGAATTTTATTTACGAATTATTTCTGTATTTTTCTTTTCCTCAGTTGGAGTCGATAGGTTCGCCTATCTTCCAGTTCATAATCCTCGCCTATGAACATGAGTAGAAATTTATCCATTGTTTCCTGTTTAGAATTGGGTTTCCGGATCCTTCTAAAAATCTTTTCATTCATTCTTTTTCACTCCCAGTAGACCCCTTGCGTCTTATTGGCGCCTTACTTGGGGTGAATTGATTTAAAAAAAATAACATATAAAAGAAAGAGGGCTTTTAGAATATAACACTCACAGGACATATCAAAAGGAAACGAGGCCGAGATAAACGGTAAATAACCTATCTAACATTCTTGTGTAAATGAATAGCAGAACCCGATCTGGGAGGGACAGAAAACAAAATAGAGGTACAGGAGATAGGAAGTTGTAGAGAGCCATGATCTCCCACGTCCTGAAGGGGCACAACACATAGAGATGATAATATATGTGCTGAGTTCTTCCGAGTCTATTGAGATGTTTATCAATTAATTAAGTTTCTAATAATCTTAACGCTTTAAAGATATAAGGTATGCATAATTAATGGGTCACGTAATTACTACAGGTATACCTCAGCCCACGTCGTTAATTGGTTCTAGAGGTCACGACTTAGGTCGAAAAACGACTTACGTCGAAATAATCACACTATAAACCGCAAATGAGCACTTCCTATTGCTTATTACAATATTTATGATATGTACATACAGTGTTCTGAATAAATAATTAATTTCTACCTTATCTTTCAGCGATATAGACTTAAGCTTAGCATTAGCACTTGCACTGGGACTTTTCTTCGGAGCCATGAGCAAAACTCTAGTCTAAATCATAATGTAAATAAGTCTGAATTCAAAATCGGTCTTGGCGCGGAAAACAACGCAAGTGCGCCACCTGTCGACAGGGATTTGAAATAAGAACATCTGCTGAACATATTTTATGCCCATTTTTTTTTTGTTTTGATAATTTTTTATATATATATATATATTTATGAAAATTTCTCCGATTTAACCAATATATATATATATATATATATATATATATATATATATATATATATATATATATATATATATATAATATTTTTTAAATTTATTTAAATATGATTTTATATGTGTTTATTGATATTTTAGTGTTTTGACGTTTCTAATATTTTTAACTGTCGACGTAAATTCGAGTAAAACGACCTAAGACGAGTTTTATTTTTCATATAATATTTAAGAAAAAGCGACGTATCTTCGAAAATGACTTAACTCGAAACGACTTAAGCCGAGGTATCACTGCATATTAATTCACTGTTTCGTTACTATCGCTGATTGGGCAAAATGTACAACCAAGTATGATTTGGTAACTTTGGGTGTCGGAAACCCGCTGATGTGCATCCACCTCACTCTGAGCCTCGTTATGAGGTTGAATAGTCGAATTTGGCTTAAGACAAATTGAGAAAAAACGTCTTGTTAATCAACTAGTCCATTGCTTCTCAAATTATCTGATATGGTGGACCAGATTTTTTTCTCAATGTGTCACATACCTGCAATATTTCATGGTAATATGAATTTATGCCAGAAACGATATATTTAATGAATATAATAAAAGTTGACTGTTCTTTATTTTCCATTTATTTTGCAAAAAATAATTCAATATGAAAACATAAAAACTAATAAAAAAAATAAGCAGTTTATTAAGATAACGAAACAAAAATTATATAACCTTAATCTTTACAAATGATTCCTTAAAATAGTCTGGACACTGGCCACGTACCGGTAACTGATGGTTCGTGTACCAGCACCGGTCCGCGGACCGCCACTTTGAGTAGCATAGAACTAGTCGATTGACAGACAAATTCATGAAAGTTATAAGGCAATAAATGTCGAGGAATTAACGAACAAATGAAACTATCTTTTTTCTTTGCTTATTAATTCGCTGCAAAAAAAAAAAAAAATGCACACAAACAAATTCAATTGTTTCTTGAGAAATAAATGGAAAAAGGAAGATAAATATTTTACTTTAAATAATTTTTATTTAGGTTTTTCTTCCATTTACTTTTTAAGATGGCGAGAATGAATCTTGAAGTTTGCATCAAGTGATTCAATAACTATATTTAGCTCGAGTTACTTCATATATTTTTTCTCTTTTTAACGAAGCATGAAAGACAGATAAAGAAAAATTCTTTAAGCGAGAAAAATATTGACGTCTGTTGAAAACAATTTCAAAATCTAATGTAACAAGAGTAGAAGAAAATACATTTTTCTTTTTCTTGACTTTTTCTTTGTTCTTTCTTTTTTCTATCATTTTCATATTTTCTTTTTTCTTTCCTCTTTTCTATCTTTCTTTTTCTTTCCTTTTTTCTATTTTTCTTTTTCTTTCCTTTTTTCTTTCCCATTTTCTATCTTTCTTTTTATTTCCACTTTTCTATCTTTATTTTTCTTTCCTTTTTTTCTATCTTTCTTTCTTCGTTTCTCTTTTGTATCTTTCTTTTTTCTTTCCCATTTTCTATCTTTCTTTTTCGTTTCTCTTTCTATCTTTCTTTTTATTTCGTCTTTCCTATCTTTCTTTTTATGGTCTTTTCTTTCTTTTTTCTTACCTCTTTCCTATTTTCTTTACTCTTTTCTATTTTTCTTTCCTCATTCCATCTTTCTTTTTTCTTTCCTCTTTTCTATCTTTCTTTTTCTTTCCTCTTTTCCATTTTTCTTTCTTCTTTTCTATCTTTCTTCTTTCTTTCCTATTTTCTATCTTTCTTCTTTTTTCTTCTTTTCTATTTTTCCTTTTACTTTTCTGTTTTTTTAATTTTTTTTGATGCAAAAACGAAAATAACACTTAAATCTCATTTTAACTAATGTAGTTGCCAAAATTACACATAAAGTATCTTGACAATACTAAAGTGTAAATTTATTCAATAAAATTGCCATTGGCTTCAACCCCGATCTCCAGACAACTTCAGAATCTCCTGCAACTCTTCTGGACGGTCTCCTTGTTTAAGTTGGTGAATGCTTCCGTAATCCTTACCTTCAGTTCATCTTTGGTGTTACAAGGAGTTTTTTGCCCCTCACTCGACTGCGCTGCACACATAATAATCAAGGGGGTTGGGGTCTGGGGAGTTACGTTGCCAGATGTAAGAGGTGAGGTGGTCGCAGAAATTGTCTGACAGACATTACTGGATTCTTCTGCTTGTAGAGCATGGTGTAGAATCCTGTTGCCAGACATAGGGTATTCTAGCAGCCACCCTCTTGGGTCAACTCGTGGTATGGTTTTCAGGCACTTTCCACTTGCCGCACGCTGATAACATCAGGATTTCTCCTTGCTGACAAATCGACCATGGTGAGATCGAACCCGGGTCTCATGGTCAGAATGCGAACGTTCTAACCACTAACTACTTATATATATATATATATATATATATATATATATATATATATATATATATATATATATATATATATATATATATATATATATATATATATATGTGTGTGTGTGTGTGTGTGTGTGTGTGTGTGTGTGTGTTTCATTAGAGACGACGGACAAGGTACTACGATTAATCACACACATAAACACATATATATATATATTGTGTATTTAGGTAGCAATGCTTTATTTATACGTTTCATTAAAGACGATAAACAAGGTACTGCGATTAAGCTTTTATTTAATTTATCTTGTGTTCGAACAAGTGTTTTCTTTTCTGGACACAGTGTGTAGAAAAAAATAATAATAATAATTATAATAATAATAATAATAATAATAACTACGAACACGGCGACAATGTGCTAACTGTGCTCGGGAAATAATATATCTCTATAACACTAAACACATACAAACAACCCACATACCCAATTAAAGTGAAAAAAAAATCATCCTTGATAATGGCTAAAAGTATAGCCGAAAGCGCTCAGAATTATAGAACCTTTGGACAGTGTGTCCAAAAACGAAAACACTTAAATTAAATAAAAAGCTTTATCGTCTTTAATGAAACATGTATAAATGAAGAATTGCTGCCTAAATACATATATATATATATGTGTGTGTGTGTGTGTGTGTGTGTGTGTTATAGGCCGGAAAATTACCGTGCCAAAAAAGGTTATATAAAGAAGTTCTCGGTACACAGTTCAGAAAATTGAACATGCAGAGTAGGTATATATATATATATATATATATATATATATATATATATATATATATGCATCGTGTGTGTTATGTACATACACTTATTCAAACGTTGTAACAACTTTTTTTAACACATAATCTTAGAACAGAATGTCATCTTCAATGTAAAATTTATTAAATTTAATATACAATATTTAATGATAGAATTATTCAAGAAAATAAACTTAGCTATTATCAACAATCAGTGGGTAGAATTTCATCGGAATATATATATATATATATATATATATATATATATATATATATATATATATATATATATAAATATGCAGGTTGCGATCGAGAAATTATGCAAAAATGAAAAACACTGACATCTCACTTTGACAGATATAATTACCAAAATTACACAAAAATATCTTGAAATACTAAAGAGTAAATTATTCAATGCAATCTCTATTGGCTTCAACCAAAGCCTCCGGACGACTTCGGAATCTCCTGCAACTCTTCTGGACAGTACATCTTTTGTATGACAAGGAATTTTGCTGATCTCTCGCTCAACTGCGCCCCATATATAATAATCAAGGGGGCGGTTGGAGTCTGGGGAGTCAGGTACCTAGATGTATGGGGTGATGTGGTCGCAGAAATTGTCTGACAGACATTACTGGGTTCTTCGATTTGTGGAGCATGGTGCAAAGTTCTGTTGCCAGACATAGGGTATTCTAGTAGCCAGGGTAGCACTATCTCCACAAGGCACTTGATGTAGTCTTCCGTGTTGCTTCTGAAGCCCTCAAGAACAAATTCGTGTTTTCTTATCAAAAAGATCAGAGTGAGTTTTCCTTCGTAATCACTATTATACTCATCCAACTCTTTTCGAATCCTCTGCACTGTCCTCAGATTGCTACCCAAATACTCTGAAATGTTCTTATTGGATTCTGGCGCGAATGCCAAGCAGTCCAACATGCCGTTTCGAAATTTCTAGCGAAGTGAATTGCGTCATTGTGCTCTTTTTCTCATAGACTGTGCAGTCGACAAAATCAAAAACAAACAACGCGCATGTGTGAAATTAAAAATATAAAATGGCGACAATTTACACATCGCACTATCTATCTATCTATCTATCTATCTATCTATCTATCTATCTATCTATCTATCTATCTATCTATGCTTGTGTGTGTGTATAGATAAGTCTATAAATCCGCAGCGGAATGAAAAAACATTTATTTTACATAAAAATATAACATTCTTCCTTGTCAATACACTTAATCCAATGATTCACCATTAATCACACGGTTCCAACATTATACAGTGAAAATTTCAGATCGAATTTACCTAATCACACTACTACGCTATTAATTTATAGATCCATACTTGTATATATATATATTTGATATTACTCTAAACGTTATATTTTATCAGATGCACGTGTTTGCGTAGACGCCCTGTTTAATTTTTTACACAGTGTGAATTACATATACTAGTCTGTGCATTCGAAATACTTAATAAAGTAAATGTGCCCCCCCTCTTTATATTCCTAGGGAAGCTCCCGGGATTTGCAAAGATTTGGACAGTTTCCACACTGATGAAATCCAGAAAAGAAGACAAGGACACATGGCCAAGTGGATAAAAGCGTTGGTTGGATCCAGCGACTTGAACCTAAGAGTTGTGAGTTCAATACGTGGCTACTGTGGACAAAAGCTTGGGAAGTTCAGTTAAAGGGAGATAACTGAGACACCCGGAAGGGTCATGGTACGTGAAACTAGAACACTCTACCCTGGTGGACGAAATAAAGGGTTCAATCACCTGACGGAGGCAGGAGCGTACAACGACCGAAACGTCTTCAATATGAAAGATGAGGACAACAGTCCGAACAATGTAAATAATTACAATACCTCATATCAGAAATATAGACAGATATTGAAGGAGTAAATATGGCAATAAAGATGAGGACAAAGTCCGAAACGTGTAAATAATTACAATACCTCATTCAGAAATATAGACAGATATTGAAGGAGTAAATATGGCAATAAAGATGAGGACAACAGTCCAAACAATGAGGACAACAGTCCGAACAATGTAAATAAAATTACAATACCTCATATCAGAAATATAGACAGATATTGAAGGAGTAAATATGGCAATAAAAATATGGTAAATAATTACAATACCTCATCTCAATAAAGATGAGGACAACAGTCCGAACAATTTAAATAGTGTAAATAATTACAATACCTCATCTCAGAAATATAGACAGATATTGAAGGAGTAAATATGGCAATAAAGATGAGGACAACAGTTCGAACAATGTAAATAGTGTAAATAATTACAATACCTCATCTCAGAAATATAGACAGTAAATATGGCAATAAAGATGAGGACAACAGTTCGAACAATGTAAATAGTGTAAATAATTACAATACCTCATCTCAGAAATATAGACAGATATTGAAGGAGTAAATATGGCAATAAAAGGATGAACAATGTAAATAACAACAGAAATATAGACAGATATTGAAGGAGTAAATATGGCAATAAAGATGAACAAATGAAAATGTAAATAGTGTAAATAATTACAATACCTCATCTCAGAAATATAGACAGATATTGAAGGGTGAATAAATAAGATGAGGAAAAGTAAAATAAAAGTAAATAATTACAATAATATTTTAGACAGATATTGAAAGAAATGAAATCCAAAGATATAGACAAGTAAAATGAATTATTTTTCAAGATGAATTATTTTCATTTATTCTTTGGTTTTCATTTCACTCGATATATTCTTTGATATTTTATTTGACTTCCGGTTTTTCGAAGTCTTGGAGTATTTTTTCTCTATTCTTCCTTTTTACCTATTCAATAGAAATGTGTTCTCGTCGAAAAAATGCAATGAATGATGAAAAGAAAACAACATAAAAATAAAAGGTAATCGTGATATTAGCCGTTTCCTTATAAGGAAATATTAAGCTTTTATTGACCGAGCAGAAAGTGTTACTGTCGGTCGAATTTTATAAAATCTTTTCTTTTCAAGAAAATAGATTCCTCAAGTTCATTGATATCAACCTTTCCAATACTGATGGTAGTTTCCTTCCTAACCTTTTGTTTGAAGTCGTGTGGAATGTCAACATCTTGATTATGCCATTATTTTCTCTTAGAGATAAATGTGCTAGGATCTACTGGGGTAAAATGGGTATCCGGGGTAAAATGAGTAATCAAAGTATTAGCCATGATAGATGTGCTATTGTACATTTTCTGAAATGAATTGTGGTATTGTGTGTCTCTATTATTATATCCAAACTCCTTACCTGTATAAATTTGCACCTATTGTCTTTCTTTCAATTTTGGATTACTAATGAGAAGGACTTCATAAGGTCAGTATCTCATTTGCATCTTTTGTTTATTCTACAACACTTTGTGCTTTGTCTGAATTTTAGGCTGTAAATGATTAAAAAGTGTCTTTAAAAGTAACATTGAGTCACAATCTTTGATTTTCTGTAGTGTATTGACTTCTGTGATAGCCACTTGCTGAAAAAATATCAGCCTTTCGTAGTCGGGTTAAATGAGTAACCCGACATGTAAGATTATGTGAACATTTGAAAAGAGTGATTGTGTTTTCCTCAGTCATGCTCATTTTACCCAAATGTAAGCAACAAATGCTGGGAATTTTTTTCAAGCTTTGCTTTTTTTTCCGAGTAATAG